AACAACACATGGAAATCAAGATGTGCGGTAAAAACAACAATCAATTGTTGATATTGAAAGTTTCAATTTGAAAGTTGACGATGAGCGAAACGGAAAAGCGTTAATTATATAAGCGAATGGAATTTCGGGGGATATGGAGTAATCCCAAAAAATGAAACATACATTTTGACGATGAAAAATGAGAATTCATTTAAAAATGGCAAAAACTATTGCATAAAATCCGAAATGAATATGCAATTTAATTCAAAAAACACTATATTTACATTGTATGACTGTGCACAAAAAAAGAAAATCGGTATGATTTTCCCCAATGACTGAAGCAATATTGTGCTAAGATAATGAAACCAAAATTTGTTGCTTCATTCGGAAAACTTTACCATTGAGCCGAATATGTTAGTAGCAGCATCCAGCATCCAGCAACCATATGATTAGATTTAATCGAGGCGATACAAGTTTCATTCGTCTCTTATTTAATCCATTCCGAATGAAGATTAGTTTCCATATATTCAAAAATAGAGCGATGCCAGTGAGACGTAGCCAACCTATATTATTATGAGGATTTATTGGCTTCGCTTGCAAACGTTGAAAATAAGATAACAATAAAATAGTGTTAATTTGGCAACATCACGCCTTTTGTTTTCACGTCCGACAAAAACCACTGGAAATTATTTTGAAACGGTGTGTGCGAATGTGGTTGGTAATTTTTGCTTTATTTTTGCTTTTGAAGTTTTTTGCCGCTGAATATAAATTGAAACCATTTAAAATTTTGGCAATGAATTTGTAAACATGAAACCGTGATTTGATGGTTTCATTTTCATTGAGTCTCTCGGACGTGGGCAAAACTCTAAGCCAAGTGAATGAAAACGGTGCGAGGCTGAAAATGTGCGTCTGAAATTTGTGTAGCGTCATGTTGTCGAATATTTCTATGACACATACACACACAAACAACAGATTGGCTTTGTGAAGTCGCAAAATAAGGCGAAAAAAGGCATGACATAAACAATATCCCCGGAGACAAGCCAAATGACTGAAAAAATAATCATGGCATAAAAAGACACAAGTCGACTATGAAAGCGCACGAGAGAGGTAGAGAACGTGAGAGCGAAATATATATATGTATATACATATAAATGACGTCGAGTAGAAGATAATAATAAAATATTACGGCTGATGGCATGCATTGTTGAACCGAGAAACTCTAATTTATAAACTGACTGCCATGTAAAATCCATTATTAAATTACACGTGTAATTTTAAATAATTTAACTTTTATAATATAATATAATGAAAAATTGGCTCAAGTGAAGATGAGGATAGCGTTGGTATGAGACACATAGGGAGTGAAAGAGAAATGAGCGCACAACAACACAACATTTATGCAAGAGTGAGTGTTTATGGTTTAGGTTACGGACACAAATACAGTTTGCATGCTCACCGATTTTGTGGCAATACGCATCTCACTTATCCAGTCCTCGGCGTACAAACGAGAATGGGGGGAGAGACAGAGAACGACATAAGTGTTGATGAAGAATGTACAGTATACACCCGCAGCAACAATTTAGAAGCTCATATACGGCAAATAATATCACATTCAAAGTCACAAATATCATTCAAAATGCTACGGTTGCTGTTGTTGCTACTGCTTTTGTCGTATGCCATCGTTCGTTCATTTGAACAACGTCACACTGCATGGAGCACATAATTTTCAGTTGTTCAGAGCAATGTATGACATACAATTTTAATTAGTGCTTGAGTCCGTATGAATTTATTCACCTATCCGAGTGTGGCTCCTTCTCGGTCTGATGTCACACAGGGTGCATAGTATGTGCAATTTAAATAGTTTTAATTTTAATGCCCACTTCATGAATCACATTTTTATGTAGTTTGATTCGAATGAAATGGAATCTGAATGGGAAGAAATCAGACAGGCAAAGACGAAGCTCGGATCTATTTTACACACGTTAAAATTCACACTCAAGTTTTACTTTTCGAATTCTTAAAAATTAAATCATGGTTCCTTTACACCCTGCCCAAAGAATTTATGAATTAAAAAAAAAAAAATATTTTCTACAAACGTACGAAATTTGGACAATCATCTTGGAAGTACATATTGTGGCATATGAATGGTTATGCCGCATGGGCTCATATTTTAAATGTGAAATGATGTTTTTTGGTTGATGTTCTTACCTTTTTTTTTGTGTGAAATTATATTCATATTCATAAATATTTATGGGGCCGAAAGCTGAAAATGAGCTAAATGACTCGTTTTTGGACACATTAGCCCTCGTTTGAGCGCACATTTCTCGAAAACCAAAATAAATTATTTGCACCGGTAATAAATTGTTTTGCATTTTCAGCACGTGAGTTAATGTGAAATTAAGTGCTATTTGTGGTTAAAAACCAAAACAAAACCGAAAAAAAATGCAAACAAAATGTGCGACAAAAAGAAACGAGATGTGAAAAACCGATTAAGCTTTGCAAATTGATGCAATTGTATGCGAACTATTCAAGCGAAATAATATGTGTTTAAAGCTTTAGAGCCCATTTAACGAGTCACATTTAAAATCGTTCTTAGCCTATTCACATTGAATATGGAAATCGAAGAGATGGAAATTATGCGATATCCCTCACGACGATTTTAATATGAGAAAATCGCATTCATTTTTCGCAGGTGGTGGTATGATGATTTAATAACGCATAAACTTCAATTAATTTCTGAACAAACACACAGGCGTGCGATAACACATTTTGATTTTCAATGAAATGCAGCCGAGAGGACGGACGGTGTGAAGCATTGAATGTTTGTACAATTTGTGCGTGTGAACTATGATCTATAGACGCGATAATGATGAATACAAAAACATGACATTGTCAAGCATTTGAAACGAAACGATTATAACATAATGATGTCTTGTTTAGATCATTTTGTTTAGGCATGTGTGTGTGTGTGAAATGCCCGATAAAATCCCATTCAAATTGATAGCTTTTAAACATGAACAATAATTTGTTTATCAGTTACCGTATTCGTTCTGAACAATTAGTGGGCAAATTGAAGGGGATGAGGCGACAGCATAGCAAACAAAAATATCTGAATAATTGAGAATAAAAGCATTATGTCTCAAACTGCAAATAATATTTTCATAGTTAAGCATCTGTTCGAACAATAATGTGAACGGCCGAAAAAAAGATAGACAAGAAAATAATATGAATTGCTATCGCCCTTTCAACATCTCTTAAATACTAATAAAATCAAAACCACCACCACATGCCATAGAGGCAGACCGAGGCGAGAAGAGAAATGCTCACGTCACTCAAAATACAGATAAGACCCATTCATAATTTTCCTATTCACGCAAACACTTTATGTTGCGACATAATTTTTCTTCCTCGCCAGCAATTATTGTATTTGAACGACACTCGTTTTCATTCAACAGTTTAACAAACGTTATCGCTACCGTATCGCTGGAAATTATTTTCTCTGTCACACAAAGAGAAATCACAATTTAATGCCGTATATGCGGCATAATTTTTGGAGCAATTTTCTTGGACAGCATTTTACGCTGAAATTTTTTTATCATAGAGATATAAATAAACAAACAAACAAACACCATTACCATTTTGTATATAATTTATGCTTTTATTTTCGCTTCGCTATCGAACCAAAATCAAAAATTCAGACAGTAACAGAATACGGCAAAAGTCTATTACTCGGTTTTGTTCGGCGATTTCTCATTGCATTCAAATTGTGTCGAATGACATTTTTCAAATTAAAAATGATTGTCTGTAAACTTAAATCGATAACCATCGTAATTTTTGGCCAAATAATCTGAAACTTTGGATAATAATAAATTCGAAAATGTTTAATTCAAAATATAAAGCGGAATATTTGAACATGCAATTTGTCCGACCGAACAAAGAGCTCAATGAATGGGAAAAAATATTACGAAAACCAAAAACAAAATGATAAACAAAAGGAAAAGTAATGTAAGTTTTAATGTATAAAACGCAAATCGACAGTATCAGATTGAAAATGCACACACAGCAACACAATGGCCGAATCGAAATGAATCTATTTCATTTCTCCATTTCGATTTTTATTTTGGTAGATGAATTGGAAGTACAACACAGCTCAGGCAGTCTATCTTTTACTTTTATCTTTCTCGGTCGCTCTCACACTCACGAGCTTCTTCTCTCTCTCCCAGTTTCGCGCTCTCGCCCCATTTGAGTCGTATAAATGTATGTTTGTGTCGAACACAAATTGCAGAAAACAAATTCAGTGGAAAACAGTACGAAACTCCGTCAGCAAATTGAACAATTCTCAGTTAATCTGCAATAAAACAGCTGTTGCCGATAGATGCACACCCACACTACCATGCACCCACTGACACATGCACAAAGTCGAGCAAACAAATGTCGACGCTCCAACCACCGAAACGACAACAGCATCGAGCAAAAACAAAAGAATTAGTGATAACCAAAAAATGAAAACGTCCACAAAACTTACAAGAAAAACTGTTGTTGCACTGTGCACATTTCGAAATGCAATTGTACACATCTCTAAACAGATTGTTGTCATTGTTTTGTTGAATTGGTTCGCTTTTTTTATTTCTGGCCAAACAACGACAGAAATGATCAGTCGAGACAAAAGAGTTTCAGAAGTTTATCTAAGTTTGTTGCGTGCAAAATACATACCGAATTATGATGGTGAAGGCATATTACGTTTCAATTGCTTTCTTTTAATGATTTCCACAAGATAAACCGATTGAATTGTTTCGGTTATGAAATTATTCTGCTTCAGAAATTATCCAAAGTTTTCGAGTTTTAAATGATTCTTCGGTTTCATTTTAAAAACAAGTTTTACCCATTTTCCGTTCCGGTGTAAGAGAGAAACGAAGTTTTTCGTCGACATTGCATCGCTTCAGAGTAGATAGGTTTCATTTGTATATGCGGTTCCACACTCCGTAATAAAATGACAAAATCAAAACTAAAACGCCTTTTATTTGTTTTATGTGTTGTTTCTTTTTATTAATTACAGTAATCATAATCATGACATGGGTTTAGTTAAATCTGTATATGTAATTTGGTGAAATTGTTTATAGCCATGTGTTATCCGTAGTTGATTTACATGGTAAAATCAATAATAGTTATTACAAAATGTCATTTATAAATACATTTAATTACATGTGGTTTTTTTCTGTATTATTTTATTGTTTTCCCATTAACGATTACAGGTCTCTTCCTATATGCATCCATTTTCATCATTCTAAATGTGGTTATTTATCTCTAAAAATGCTACGACAATTTTTTTTCATGACAGTTCATTATCAAAGGTGTCAATTTGGATGTGTGGAAGAGAATGGATGGCCAATTGAAGTCGAATATTTGACATCAATAGAGGAAAAACCACTACTAAAATACCAAAAATACCGAAGAATATTGGAAAAATGGCTAAAAAATACCGAAAATTATCTGACAAATGAGAGTAAAGGTACGCTAAAGATTTTATTGGAAAACTCCAAAGGAGTGCATGGAAAAGGTTCATTTCAGCGTAAACTTTCATATCTCGAACATTTTGAAGAGCAATAATCGGGTAATGTGAAATTTGCTATTCTCAGATTGAGAGAAAGGTAATTGAGTCCTTCGATAGCTGGGTGCCTAAAGATTTCCCACTTACACTTTGAATCGCAAATTCCTTCAAATTCTCACAAATTTCCGCAGATTCCAAATCGACTTCGATAGGGTCTTCTAACTGTATGTGTAGGTGTTTTTGGTACTTTCTATACTTGCTGGAATTTTTTCGGTTACTTCTGTCATCTTTTAACACTCATCGGTTTTTTGGTATTTTGGTACTAATTTACCCCTTTCACAAAACCATAGAGTAATGTTCTAAACGATTATAACTTATGTCCGTCAATGTTCAATAGATTTCCATTCTATAGACATAAATCAATTTGAATTTCTAACAGAAAAAAAGACACACAAAGGAAAACAATTTCAACAAAATTGAATGAATTTTCTCATATTTTACTTCTAAAATAAGTTTAACAACTTTATAATCTCTGTAATTCATTCTACACTTATTGAATTCTAAATATCATACATTCATATCTCTTTCTTAATACTCTCTCTCTTTTTCCATAGACGAAGAAATGTTAATTTAATTCATGATTTTTTTTCTCGATTCATGTACATTGAACTGAGATGCACTTCAGCTGCAATATCTGACTAGATCCTCATATAAGTTAAGATGATTTAATTATGTGAAGCATAAGTTTTGTTTGTAATTCCTTATCTCTCACACTCTTGCTATCTGGTTCACTGTCTTTCGCTTCAAGAGATTTAATTTCGTACACATTTTGCATGTGGTTTTTGGTGATGGTGTGTGTATTTACAAGTTGTTCAAAGGATTTTGATGTTGGCAACATACATACATACACACAATATGCAAAATGTCAAATCAACAACAATACTACTATACAAGTGTTCTCTTGTAGCGAAATGAACAAAGAACAAACTATCCGCATTGATATGATTGGAATTGGTAAAATGTTTCAAAATTGGAAATCTCAATGTGAATTGCAAAACAACAAAAAAATAGCAAATGTTAAACGGATTTTGGATTATATTATGAATTTCACATCCACAGTTAATAGCACGTCATATGCCAGTGTCTGACTACATTTTACATATACACTAACTGCTGATGCGCGTATTGTCCAGTTTTCATTTTGCCTCACAAATGTTTGCTGCAAATATTAATTTAATATATACGAAATCGAGCAACTGGCTGAATTTATGTCACTTTACATAATATTTCTATACCGATTTATGCTAAACTGATTTTCATTCATTTTGTTTTACTAAATACCAGCGATTCGGTTGTGAATGTGTGTATGCAAGGCATAAATGCGTTAAATCCCTTGCAATGCAGCTTCGCATAAATATATATGTAGTAACAGAATGGCAAAAATCTCATTTGAAGTGAACTCTGCATATATTGTGACATACAATTCTATACTTACTGCATTATGGGCTTTAGTCATGCTGTTCTGAAATCCAGTATTTCGAGAGATAATTATTATTACATGCTTAACTAATACACTTTCGTCTATTACAGTTGAATCAAGATTTTGTTCGACATTTAGTTTTGAAGTATCGATTGAAACGATGGAATTGGCTGTTTGGTCTGATTGAAAACATGTTTAAATGAGAAAGAAAACCGAAGTGTTTTTTTTTTTCAAAATGCACAGAGCTTTCATAGGCATCACAGAGGTGCGGGCACTTTTCTTGTAAGCGCTGCTCTTTCTTCTATTGATTTGCGACACTTGAAAATTATAAATGGAATAAGTGAGTGGCCGCACGCTTCCGGTGTCAATATCAGCTCTGAAAATGGAAGTTATGATATTTTTTCTACGCTAATGATCCCCAAAATCGCTGGTTTGTCATGAATACATTCTGATTGCTATATATATGGTACTAAGTACTTGTTTGATGCGCGCTGAACTGTTGATATATGAGCTTAGAGCTTTGGTTTGCTATCCATTAAATGGTGGCAGTTCTGTATAATTTTAAATAAATTTTTCGCTTACACGATTCATTTTTATAAATTGCATCGAATCATCTGCACACAGTTGATTCATCGCCAGCACAGATGGAATGCGACATGGCCAAGAATAGTTTGCCATTCGAACAAGCGCACAGTTGATAGATTTTGTGATGATGTTGCGATGGCGACTGGTGTTGGTGTTGTGCTCCTTGATGATGATGATCATACATTGATGGCATAGCTGACGATGATGTAGACGACATGGACGATTGCACTATCTTTAAATTGGGCATAAGAATACTAGCTGAATCTAATCGAATCTGTTTTGTGCGAAAGAGAAAAGAAAACGGAACATAAGAGAAAAGGAAATGCAATTGAAATTAATACAAAAACGTAAATCGCTTGGATTTTCATGTATAACATTTTCGATATTATTCTATTCTGAATGCTCGCAAAGACAATGCATATATTTGCTAAATCCCATTCATTTTAGATATTCATAATACCATCGGGGGGAGGGGGGAAGGAAAAAATATGGTTTAAGATTAAAATGGCTCTCAGGTGCATTTGATTGGCCATTCCCGCAAAAGGAAATGGGAAAGTGCAGCAATTCAAACGAATATGGTACCACATACACTCATTCACTCACTCACACTGTCTCGGAGGAAAATAAATAGTTTAATGGAATTCATATGTTGGCAACTGATTGAAATACAATGGCATCCGATTAGCTCTATCGAAATATTGATTTTCTAATTTAATTCACAATGATGTTCGAAATGAATGTTGGAATGGGGTTACTTTAATTAAATATATGTACGTATATGATGAACGGTAATTAAATGATTAAAAATTCGACACGTTGTACTTACACTGCCGTCCGTTGATTGAATTCGAATATCGTTAAGGCAACTCGCATCAATACTACCGGCACCGGATTTTATGAAAATATCTTTGCCGGCATTGATTAGCAATGATCTTGTTGGTGATTCCAGTCTATAGTTATATGTGCACAATGTATAAATCAAGGAAATTAGAATATATGACCGATGTTAAATGTAATGTGGTTAATAGGTGCGAATGATCTATACAAATTATATACGCACTTGAGCTCTTTGCCTGGTTCGGCTCTTATCAATGGCGTTTGTATTGATTCACGGAATACAGCCCCACCTTCGCCTTCAACGTTCAATGCATTCGCTCCGATCAATACTTCATTTTTATTAACGCCAAACAACATTGTACCATGGGTATCAACCACTTTGAAATGATGTGCAAGCACTTCCAACTTATCGTGACCCAAAAATAAACGATTATCCAAACGCCCCTCATAATCTCGAGTATTTATCGAAAAGTTCTTTGAAGATTCTACAAAATGAAGCAATTCAAATAACAAATCAAGGTGTTGCTAAGTTTGGGGAGTAGGTTTACCACCTATCATAATTTTAAAAAATGTACCTATCGTAATTGGTAGCCCGTGCTTGGATCGGATTGATGAAGCTCGTAATACATCTAAAAACAACGCTTGACCGTTGAGCTGCATTCCACCAGGTACAATTTTTAATTGACCCATTCCATCCTAATTGCGAGAATTCAAATCATATTGAAATTTATTCCAAATTTAAACAAATTTGAAAATACTTTGAAAATGGAACGTACCGTTGTGAATTCCATAACTTTCAATATCCATAAAGTTAACGCTAAATTAACAACTATCAATATGGCTAGGCTTAAGATGAGAAAGTAAAGGCATTTCTTTCGCCATCCGTATAATCCCAGATAAAATTCATCGCTATTCGAGCCAATTCTGGAATGAGTTGCGCTGCCAGTCGCCTGTGAACTACCTATTCTAAAATTATTATTGTGTTGACCTAAATTACGATTATTATTATTGTTGCTAATGCCAGATGATGTTGTTGCCACCGGTGGTGGCGCTGTTGTGATATTATGCTCGTTCATGTTCGGATTTAATGATGCCATTTTTGTCGATTGTGACGATCCCGTCGATCGACTCGTTTGCGGATCATTTTCATTTGGAAGGTCTCTGTTCAACGAAATTCAAATGTTTGTAATTTTATATAAATATTTACGACGCAAACTAACTAGATTTAATAAATTGACCACTTTATTTTTAGAACTACTTTTTTTTTTCTAAATATTTTTGATGTAAATATTCTATGGAACCGAAACCAAAAAATCGGAAGTCATTCTTACGAAATGCAAATTACGAACAATACTTACAATGTGAGAAGCTGTTTACAATGGGCATTTTCCGACGTAAATGTCTGAAATTGTGAAGAAAACGAGATTAAAATCTTCTCTTAACATTTCACAAAGTTTTGTTTAGTAATGTATTTTGTTTTGTTTTTTTTTTTATACAAAATCTCTGTTGTTTTTCTCCGAAATACATACAGAATCACTTTCACTATTACTGTGAGAGTCCATTTCACTTTAACTGATAATATTTATTGTTTTCGATTTCACAAAAAAGACGTGCCAAGTTCGTAAGACTTCTGTTGAATGACTGATTCATTTGAGACTCTTCGCACATCGATTGTGGCCGTAGGCAAGAATTCAGGTCGTTTACCGTACAATTTAAATATAAAATTAATGATAAACAAACTGAAACACAATTTTACACAGCGTTATTCGAGATGATTAAGATCTCGGATTTGTAAAAAAATGGAAATCAACATGAAGTTTTTCATTCGATTGCGTCATCGATGCGAAAGAGAAAAAAAAAAACACGGACAGAGATGATGTTTATTTTAATCACGCGATAAAAGAGATACAAACAAGTCAGCGCCGCCAAGAGTCCGTATGTAAAGAAAAAAAAACGCCGAAACCGTCGTGACAAAAATAGATCCGTTTTTTGTTAGACTTTTGTTGTGCTTCAAACTATTTTCACTCTCGCATGCAATAACAACAGTCTGCTTTTAAACTATCACTTCTTTGTTGCCATCGATAAATGCATTTACTGCACACTGTTGTTTGAGTTGTATTAATTTATTATGAGAATACAATTGACGAACGAGACTTGATTATACGGAAAAGCAATTTTTCTTGAGTGTCTTTTTGAAAGAGGCACTCTCGATGTAGTGGGCGGTAATTCTCAATCAAACAAAAATACGTTGTTATAGTATATTTTATTTATTTGAAAACGTGAACCATAAATTGTGATGCAAGAGCAAAGGTTCGGCGATAGAGTCTTTTTTAGTTTTAAAATAAAAAATAGGATAACTAAATTAATCACATTCAAATGACAGCTTGTGATTTCACATTGAAAAGTGAACGGCGAAATGGATTTTTGACGGAAACAAGACTCGATTGAGATGAACAAAAAAATCAACTTTTCTTCATCAATTATGAAGAGTATGTGACGACAGAAATATGAACATTTTTTTAAAAAACATATTCATTTTATCGTAGTCTAAAGATACGATATTTTTGGGTAATTTATTTAGTAAAATGACAATGTTTATTTTTAGCCGAAAATCAGTCAATTTTTAAGTTTGAACGTCGTGATAGAGAGTGAGAGAGGCACACACACACACAAAGAGAGAGAGAGAGAGAGAGAGAGAGAGAGAGAGAGAGAGAGAAAAAATAGATTCCAATGCAAATGAAAAATCTCATTTTCTGTGTTTTCAACTTTAATAGTTTTTCGTACAAAAACAAAACAAATTTTCCGTGATTGATTTAGAGAATTTTAGCTCATTGTACATTTATCACCGAACTTAGTGCACATTTTATTGCTGTTCTTTTATTCCAAAATCTGTGCATTCGTACGGTTGTATCGCTGTAAGTTTTCTGTTTATCGTTATGCGTTTGGTTTAACTCGAAAAATGCAATAAATAAGCAAGTAAACAAACAAACCATGAGAATGCAGTGAGAGAGAGAGAGAGAGAGAGAGAGAGTATGGAAGAATGGCACACAAATAAACTTGAATTTCAAAACGCAAGTGGCTTGCTATCGTTTGAGTAAACATGTTGGAGTTGTTCACTTAGCATTCAAGATGAAAAGTTTTGTGTTTCGTGCATGTGTGTGTGTGTTTCTTCCTGAGCATCAAGTCGTGCCAGTGGAAAATAGTGACAGTAATAGTTGTTAGAATAATGATGGTAATCGGTTAGGAATCACATCGAACGAAGCTTGAAGTGAATGCAACACGAAAATGCGACGTGTTGTTCGTTGGTTTTTAAAAAAATGTGCGTCTTTTTCTCTGTCTTTGGTTGTAACTCATGTCGAGTTGGTGCAATTTTTCTCACGATTTTGTTGTGTCATCATCATTGGCGTCGATGTCGTTGTCGTCATCGCGTGCACATTTTGCAATCATCCTATCTCGTCGCCGGGTGCATCATCAACAAAAGCCAAATAAAACAAGCGACAACCGAAGTGTAGAAGCAGAAAAAAAGCGGTCGGTGTTCACTTCATAACTTTGGCTTTTGTTTTACTCACATGGCATTGTGCAGCACAACCTCAGTATATTTCTTTTTCGGTTTATTTTCATGTTCTCGTTCCATTCCGAACAACCTGACACAAGAAAAGTGATGGCAACGAATTTATTTGGATTTTCTCTTTCTTACCATGGCAAAAAAGGCAACTGGTGCAAAGTGGGGCTGTCATTTTAAAAGTGGGTGGCTGGCATTACACTTAACGACTGCATTTATCCAACAAACTAACTCAATGCTCAGACAAACTGTAATGAATCTTACATCGTTGGCATTGTTGATGCCATACCATGGGATAGAAAAGGTGTAATAAGAACTGAGCTTGTGTACGGGACGACGACATGTGCACAAATAGTTCATCTTAAGCAAATTGAACCGAAAAACTTTCGCTCAAAACGGAAGCATGAAGGAAGGGCAAAAAAAAAACAACGAACAGCGGTCGCATACGAGGCATCACAATTGCAATAAAACACACATGAATATATATGGAAAAGTCGGGGTGCTCACACAGCGAGAGACACGACTGCTCGACTTTGTTTGTGCCAGCTTCTTTTGGATTAATATGCAACTGAGAATGTGTCTTAATGTTCACTTAGAATTTACAGCCAAACTTAAATAACTTTTAATAAACTTATATTTTTCGCTCTTTGTCCTTGTTGGCGAGGAGTCGGCATTTTGCATTACCGAATTAACGCCGAAGTCTCAATGATATTAATATATGTTGAGTTTTCGCAAGCAGACACTTTGCAACTTGGTGCCACTGTTGCATTTTGTCAGCTTTATGTTGTCGGTTAAATAAATTGCGTTCCCTTTTTTTCCACGGAAATGCTGTTCGAATGCTGGCACAAGAGTTACAGTCAAGGCAAAATTTTGGTTATAGTGCGTATGTGTCGCTTCTGTTGACAGTGGCATAGATACAACTTTAATAAAGTGCTAATTTGGAATAAATTTATTGAAGTTTTTTTTCGCACACACGTGAGCCTTCCTCCTCCCCCCCAAAAATACATTCATAGTATCCTTTTGAATGAAGAAAAATTAAGTTTGCATTCAAAATATTTGCCGTAACCAAATAGAAAAATCTGCACGTTTTTGATTGATTGACACTTATGAGAATCACATAATGTATGATGTATTGTATATTTGCATCGCATAATGATGAGACCGATCATTCGCTCGACACCAATACCATTTAATTTACTTGATGTACAGCTAGTTTCGCATGCAGAATGCATCAAAATTTGTGCAAAGTGGACACGTTTCCATGCTCACGCCTTCATCACTATTCGATGACCATCATGTTAACATTTATTCAACTATTTTTTTTTTTCAACTTTCTACTACTATCATGCATCGCCACCATCTATTTAATGTAATTGTTTAATGTATGCACACGAGTGTGGACATTTGATAATGTTATAACGTGGCGTATTATTAAAACTAATAAAATCAAGCAATAAATGGCATTTGCTTGCCACGGTCAACGGAATTTTCCATTTACATTTTCGATCATGGCGACGGAGGCTAACTATTTCGACCATTTGGCTTTAGCCCTATGTTTGGCTTACGGTTTGTAGAACACAACACACGAGTGTTGCACATATGTTATTTTGTGTCCGCTTTTTGACCGATATTAATGCAAACGAGCTTTGGTGTACAAATGAATTTCATTTTCAGCATAATTGGTATTTAATTCAATGGCGGCTTTTTTGGTTCCACATTTACTTATCAATTTTTTTCGGATCGAATAGTTAAAAATTAAAATGGTACACACAAGAATAACCATCAACTTTTTTCAGCGTACAGTTTGTTGCAAAGTTATTTTTTTTATACATAAAACTACTCCAACAAAATCAGCTTAGAGAGAGTTTAACCATTAACATTCGAATCCCGACGCTTTTTACATTAGTGCATGAGTCAAATTATTATTATTGATTTTTAAGTGAAATGGTCGAACTTGATATTACTCTCTCGTTCTCTCTCTCTCACTCTCTTTCATAAACACAAAACCACGCACGGTGAAAATAATTAAAATATTAAACAATTAAATAAAATATATGGTGATACATAACGGAAAACGGCTTTAATTTGATGAGTGTGTTTATTGGCGCTGAATGTGAATATTTTTTTCAATTTTCTCTTTTTATGAACGCACACACGGTCGATACCATTTTTGGATTTTCAATTTTATTCATCAACCGAAATAATTTATGAAATATTCACAATAAAAATGAAAAATCAGTAATGAGTAAGCGAGAGAAATGGACGGTGTGTAAAGAGAGAGAGGACGGTCACAACAAAAAAAGAAACACGAAAAAGCATGCAATTTTAATTTATTGGTGCTACATTCTTGCTAGAGTTCAAAACTGAACTACACCCATTCAAATATTTATGTAATATACAAGCCAAATATGACATACTGCACGCTGCAACAAACAAATATATTAATAACATGAAAATATATATTTTCCGGAGAAATACGGAAAAAATATACAATTAACACTCGGCAATTTGGATTTGTGAGGATTAGCCATTGTGAGTCTTTTTTTCTAGTGGAATCAAGCATCTATCTTTTTTTGCCGAACTCGGGTTCGTTATTAATAGAACCATTGGATATTTTACTAGTCAAGTCGATGTGAAACCCATCTATTTGAATGCATTGACCAAAAGATTTCTTTCAAAATATTTCCATCAATAATAATTCGTCTTTTTTATTCATGTATTTTTCCATTCAAAATGTATTTCAAGCCGATTGAAATGAAAATCAGCATTAAATCGGAACAAAAAAAAACAATTACACATGTGTAAAGCATTATGAAAGTTCTCTGTGCACTTAAAATAAA